ATCTAAAACTGATTCTATTTGAAGCAGCAACGTTCTGCTGCCGTTCCGCGCCACTGATGCTTTGAGTATGAAATAGGAGTGAGAAGCTCTAACATCCGGGAGGGGCTCAGTGTTGAGTTGCTGCTGCTCCAGCCTAGAAATTATTCTATGCAAATCTCCCCGTTTGTGACATCACAAACAGGTGGTTTTTTTAATGGCTTGTTTTAGGCATATAAATCCTAAAACCAAATGACAGGATACAGATAAACGAGTGTTTATAGAGTTAATCCGAGTTTAAAATTCTTGTTTTCAGAGCTCTGCATCCAGGACAGCCTACGATGGAGGTGTGATGGTATTGTTTTATTCTGGGATGTTTTCATGCTAACTTCATTATTAAGGAGGATCGGAGCCTGGCAGCAGTGGACCTTATCTTCTAAGATCTGCTTCACAGGATGAATGTGAATTTGTGTCTTTGTTCCTAAGAAGGAATACTCAACAGGAAGCAAAAGGCCACTGTTTTCCTGTACTAGTGAATGGGCAAGGTGAGTCACAGTGAAAAGGTTGACATCTGTGCTAAATCACCCAACAGCACAATCGGATCATCTTTTTCACAAAGCTCAACACAATTGCCTGAATACACAATAGATTTCAATAGCCTCAAAAAGAATTTAAAAAGATGCAGTCAATGTGATAGTCACATCCGTGTAGTTCTCTATGCCCTTTACTGCTTCTATTTCAATAAGCAGGATTTGTTTTGGGTCTATTTTATGTTTTAATTAATCAAGTGAATCTGATTAGTATCTGCATGCTAAACATGGATTATGCAGAGCAGAGAACTCACCAGAAGAGATTAAAATCACTTCAAAAAGCCTCAGATCTCAGAGTTACCCAGTCTACCTCTGATGAACATCTCAGGGCAACATGATATCTAAATGAAATGGGCTGATTAATCCACTTGAGCAGCAACAGGGTTTTGCATGGCAACCATGAACCATTAACAACCATTTAATCAATTTCCCTCTGGGATTAATAAAGTATTTTTGAATTGAATTGAATGAAGCGGAAAACAGTCCGACTCGTGCAGGAGGTGGACACGTTTAATTACAAGTACAATAACGGATGCCTAGTTTCTCTCATATAACACAGGGATTTGTAAAAAAAAAAAACAAAGTTTGTTGAGTTTTATTGGAAAACTTTCAAAATTTCAAAAAATAAACATCAAACAAAATTGAACACTTGGATGAGACATCTCCTTGAGTTAGCATGTTTTCTACGTGCATGAATGAATTTGCTCCAGGTACTATATGGGCAACTCTAAATTGTCATTAGGTAGGTGTGTGTGCGTGCGTGTGTGTGTGCACATGTGTCTCCAACCTCCTTAATGTTTCAGAGCCATGTTTACCACGAGTTGCACCATTTTTTTCCAATAAATTTATTTATTTTCCTGCAAGAAATGACTCACATTTTAGCAGTATTTACATTATATAGTACAAGTTTGACATCTGTGCAATTCACTCAAAATGCTCAGAAAGTAAGTCGAACATTAATAAGAAAACAAGACTTTTTTGAAAGTTAGGCTAAAAAAAAACAGTCCAATAAAAAATACCTGCAATATGAAACATCCATAAAAAATTAAATAGCATCAGAAATCTTATGGAATTAGTTGAAAATCAGACAGATTCTAAAACTCTCAGTAACGCTGTGAGCATTAACACTTAGAGCAGGGGTGTCAAACTCATTTTAGCTCAGGGGCCACATCGAGGGAAATCTAGTCCCAAGTGGCCCGGACCGGTAAATAAAAAAAAAAAAACTTCAGATTGTTTTCTTTGTTTTAATACAATCAATATGAAACAAGGCTGGAGCCTGAGGACAGTGTAGTACAAGTACAACACCTGAAGTGTACTTGAAAATTTGGAAAAAAAAAAAAAAAAAAAAATCAATACATAATAAAAAATTCCTTAGTGATTCAGAGCTTACAGATCACATGGCACGATAAGTTCCATGCAGCACTTAAAGTATATTTGACTCATTTTACTTTACATCTTTTAGCTTTCACCAGCACATCAATATCAGAAGTCACATCCTGAGTGGCAGCCAACTTCAGGATGTGATTCAAGTTCTTGTGTGAGCCTTGAGCGCAGCTTTGTTTTATTTATAGTCGTTACAGAGAAAACTTGCTCACAAAGATAAGTTTATTTTCACTCTACATTGTAAAGTATGAAAATAAAGTTTTCACAACCATCTCGCGGGCCGGATTTAACCCGCTTGCGGGCCTCATCCGGCCCGCATATTTGACACCCCTGACTTAGAGTATACCGTTTATGTACCGCTGAACAGGTGTCCTGTTAAGACTGTAAACCAAAGGAGAGGAATTCTCTTCCAGTTGCATCCTTCCTGAATCCAGCCGCCGAGGATGGATGTTGTCTGTTTAGCATTAAGAATGTTGAAGTTGGATAAATAGAATTATTCCACATCTCAGTGAGGCTTGTCTGCAGAGTCCCAAAAAGTTAACAGCTTATAGATCCACTCCTGCTTTTACTCACACATTAAGCTTTTAAATTTTACAGGTGAGTCCACCTGAGAACAAGGTTCACAGGTTTGTCTCATCCCACGATGGGTCGTTCATACTCTTCAACACCCTCCTCACAACTTTTTCCAATTCCTTCCTCGCTCTCTGCTCCTCCTCCAGAGACCTCTTCATCTTTTTATTATCCTGTCATAAACAATCATTTCAATCAGAGAAAAGATCCATTTTAAAAACATACTTTTCAAGTTTTAAAGCTCTAATTATTTTTCAGATTTTTTTTAACTACGGCAGCTTGTTTTTTTTTTCAGTTTTAATGACAGTAGTTATCACAATCAGGATTTATTATGAAACGGTGCCACAAATTTACCTGTTTCAGCTCCTGAACCTCGTCTCGCAGAGCGTAAACCACATCCACCAGGCTCCTTAAACAAAGAGTACACTTCAATATTCACCAAAAATGTCAGTCTACATGCACAGAACTTGTTTCAGACTTTAGTGAAAAAAATCAGCATCTCAGTAAATTTGAATATTGTGAAAAAGTTCGATATTGAAGACCCCTGACGCCACACTAATCAGCTAATTAACTCAAAACACCTGCAAAAGCCTTTAAATAGTCTCTCAGTCTAGTTCTAGGCTACACAATCATGGGGAAGACTGCTGACTCAACAGTTGTCTAAAAGACGACCATTGACACCTTACACAAGGAGGGCAAGACTCAAAAGGTCATTGCTGAAGAGGCGTGCTGTTCACAGAGCTCTGTGTCCAAGCACATTAATAGAGAGATTCACAAAGAGTGGACTGCAGCTGGAGTCTGTGCTTCAAGAACCACCACACACAGAAGAATGCAAGACCTGGTTTCAGCTGTTGCACTCCTTGTGTCAAGCCACTCTTGAACAAGAGACAGCATCAGAAACGTCTCACCTGGGCTAAAGACAAAAAGGACTGGACTGCTGCTGAGTGTTGCAAAGTTATGTCCTCTGATGAAAGTAAATGTCCCAGAGTCTGGAGGAAGAGAGGAGAGGCACAGAGTCCACGTTGCTTTAGATCCAGTGTAAAGTATCTGCTGGTGCTGGTCCATTGTGTTTTCTGAGGTCCAAGGTCAATGCAGCCATCAACCAGGAAGTTTTAGAGCACTTCATGCTTCCTGCTGCTGACCAACTTCATGGAAATGCAGATTTAATTTTCCAGCAGGACTTGGCAGCTGCACACAGTGCCAAAGCTACAAGTATCTGGTTTAAGGACCATGGTCTCCCTGCTCTTGATTGCCTAGCAAACTCACCTGACCTTAACTCCATAGAACATCTATGAGGTATTGTGAAGAGGAAGATGCAACACACCAGACCCAACAATTCAAAATAGCTGAAGGCCACGATCAGAGCAACATGGGCTCTCATAACACCTGAGCAGTGCCACAGACTGATGGGCTCCATGCCACGCCGCATTGCTGCAGTAATCCAGACCAAAGGAGCCCCAACTAAACACTGAGTGCTGTACATGTTCATACTTTTCATGTTTATTCTTCAGTTGGCCAACATGTCTGTCATTGAAGCGTAGCCACAACCGATTTTACATTACATTATTATTATTAGCAACCAGCAACAGCAAAATGTAGCATTTCTGGTGCATCCAGGGGTCTAGGCTGACAGGAAATTAACATTTCTACCAGAATTATGTATAAAATAATGTCCTTATGCATTGCTGTTAAACATATGCAACTGAATCCAAACAAATGAGTTTAGCCAATGTTTGAACTAGTCTGTTAGCTTAGTCCTCTTCCAAAAGATGGGATGCCTCAGTACAAATTAAAAATATACCAAAACAAACGTTTTCAATATAAATTAACTGACAGGTTCAACAATTTTCATAAATTACAGCCAGAAACTTTTTCCTTTAGCTTATCAGTATTGTTGTTTTTAGTATTATTTTGTGGGACAGAAGCTAAAATTTTTGGATACGAACAAAGCAGGTTAGGTAATTCATGAATTTTGTAGAGAATCAGAAAGTCGTTTTAAATGTTGAACAGAGGCACATTTTTTATTTCTGCTCATCAGATAGATGAGCCACGTACACAAGGTGAAGTTTGTCAGTAATTAAATATTAATATGTTTTAGAGAGAAACTGACGTTTTTTTTCCCCTTAGATTAATGAAATATCATAAAAATTTTACTTTCTTTTGGAAGCAGCATGGAATAGACATTAGTCTTACTTCTCTTCTAGCGCACTTTGTCCATTCCGACTGGGATCCTCCAGAACCTTCTCCTCACCGGGAATGATCACATGAAGGCCCGTTTCCCGCTGCGGCCCTGGGACAAAACAGAGAAGCAAACACCCGCTGTGGCTTCATAGCGTCTTTTCATAACAACAGACAGGAGGCCAGTAAAAAAGTGAGTTAGTAACAACAATCAAAGGGGAGTTAAAGGAAATTTAAATAATAAAGTCAAATTAGTAAGTCACATCAGCAGATCTGCAACAATAAAACACCAGAACACCAGAGTCTACCAACAGAGTGTTTTATTAAAACTTAGGATACAGAGTTTGGGACTTAAGCAGCGTAGAAGAAATACACTTTAGGCTCTGGCTGCAGAGACGACGCAGTCAAATGTGTGACTTGAACGCAGCTTTAGAGCACACAGAGGACGCTGTTGGTTAAAGATAGCTAGTTTGTTGTTGTTTTTCCACCCTGTGTGTCCCAGAGTTAAACCACAGAATACACCTGTCACAAAGTTCAGCACATGTTATAAGGACCGTGATATTCTTCGCTCAGAACGCTGACTTGTTTTTCTGGCTTTAAGACAACAATTATTTACAGAAACGGATTATCATGTGCTCTTTTTAACTCAAGTCCATTTGAACAGCCTTCTGATGTCGAATGATGAATTCACTCAGAAGAATTCCTTCATTTCACTTGTTTTTTTTTTGTTTGTTTTTTTAAACCTTCAACAGCAGCCAAACACTGGAGGTGAGCATTTACACTGCAAATGAGCATTCACTTTACAATTACACCAAATACTGAAGTCTACCTTTAGGAATATATCTTACAGACTCCAAAAATTACAGAATTTCACAGAATTCGCCCCCTCCTTGTTACACGATTGTGCAAAATAATCAAAACATTTGATTTAATAATTTACTGTAAACTGAACAAAGTATTCCAGTGATCATTTTGTAAACACTGATGTACGGATTTTAAATTAAATTAAAATTTATTTTAATTAAAAAATCAACTGTGTACAGAATTATAAATACAGGAAACCAACTGTAACATGGACCCATAAATATTTGATCTGTCATTCACTTTGCTCGCTGTAAGAGGGTGTTAGCTTGTACTTTTTATACCATTACTGGAAAAATACTTCTTCATAAAAATAGGTTTTAATGCGAGAGAAACAGGGGAACCTCACAAGCTATTAAAGGCAGGCTGCAGCTGACGAGGCTTTAGAGTAGGTGCTAATTGTTTGTGGATGTTTTTGAGTCAACTTTGCACTATATAGGCCAAATTGTAGATTATTTACTGTCTTTTTGTTAAACTGTAGAATCACTGAGGAGGTACAGACTCTAACCCACTCTGGTGTGCCCACAGACATATAAACATAGACGCCCCGTGGACTGGCACTGCCTATTGGAACTGCCATAGTAAACGGCCGCCATCTTAGATGGGTCTTCATTCGCCTCTAGGACATTTATTTCTACTGAGGCAGGTGCTTACCCTTAACTAAAAAACACATTTAATCAAGCTTTTTCACAAAATTAGACACATGGTATATTCTTAAAATATAAACATAATTAAACAAAACAAATTAAAATATCAAATCCCATCAGGTAGGTCAACAGTTTTCCCATGTGACATGGTTTTGATAGTATGCCAGTTGTTGCAACAGTAGGCTGCATGAAAACGAGCATTTTTGCCAGCTCTGCATTGGCAGTGGATAGTGACAATACCTATCCAATATGGCGGCGAAGCTGTTGCGCTCTCCAGCACGGAATGGGGCGTCTACATATTCATGTCTACGGGTATGCCTTTCCTGAGAAGATAAAAAGGTTTTATGCTCTGTAGTTTAACATTTTCCTAACAGCAGTCACCTGCTCCTCCAGCTTCATGTTTTAGGAGAAACCTTTAGTTTTAAGGGCGATGACAACATCCAGATCAGCTTTCACTGTGAATAATAAACACAAGCTCTGTGAAGTCATGGTAGAATGGATCTCTTCACGTTTAAATACAGACTCATTACCCGCTCAGGCAAGAAATAAAGTAGGATATTTAGACATGATAAATACTAAGGCAAAACATATAGTTTCATACTTACTGAATAAAGGCAAATTCAACTCATAATAAAGGTCTGTGACTGTGTCGGTTTGAATTATAATGTTAATTTGAATTATTTAATTATTTAAAATAAGGTATAAATAAACTCTTCTGACAAAGACAATTAGGAAATTTACCTTTATGGTAAATTATGGATACAGGGCAAAAGTGGGAAGTTATTTCCAGTGAGTTAATCTGAATTATAAAAGAGTAAATTTAAATAAAACCCAACTCATCTGGATGTTGTGTAAAAAGTTAATTTCAAGTCATACGATCACAACCTAAATGTCATACTGGTTTTTGCAACAATGACAAAAATCAATGAACAGGATGAATTTCCCGACCGGTATTTTCTTAAATTCACCAGCTGCCTCTTTTTAGACCCAACAAGAGTAAAACCACAGACATATACTGGTCCTTCTCAAAGAATTAGCGTATTGTGATAAAGTTCATTATTGTCTGTAATGTACTGATGAACATTAGACTTTCATATATATATTAGATTCATTACACACAACTGAAGTAGTTCAAGCCTTTTATCGTTTCTAATATCGATGATTTTGGCATACAGCTCATGAAAACCCAAAATTCTTATCTCAAAAAATTAGCATCTCATGAAAAGGTTCTCTAAATGAGCTATTAACCTAATCATCTGAATCAACTAATTAACCCTCAACACCTGCAAAAGATTCCTGAGGCTTTTAAAAACTCCCAGCCTGGTTCATTACTCAAATCTGCAATCATGGGTACGACTGCTGACCTGACTGCTGTCCAGAAGGCCATCATTGACACCCTCAAGCAAGAGGGTAAGACACAGAAAGAAATTTCTGAACGAATAAGCTGTTCCCAGAGTGCTGTATCAAGGCACCTCAGTGGGAAGTCTGTGGGAAGGAAAAAGTGTGGCAGAAAACGCTGCACAATGAGAAGAGGTGACCCGACCCTGAGGAAGATTGTGGAGAAGGACCGATTCCAGACCTTGGGGGACCTGCAGAAGCAACGGACTGAGTCTGCAGTAGAAACATCCAGAGCCACCGTGTACAGGCGTGTGCAGGAAATGGGCTACAGGTGCCGCATTCTCCCGATCAAGCCACTTTGAACCAGAAACAGCGGCAGAAGCGCCTGACCTGGGCTACAGAGAAGCAGCACTGGACTGTTGCTCAGTGGTCCAAAGTACTTTTTTCGGATGAAAGCAAATGTTGCATGTCATTCAGAAATCAAGGTGCCAGAGTCTGGAGGAAGACTGGGCAGAGGGAAATGCCAAAATGCCTGAAGTCCAGTGTCAAGTACCCACAGTCAGTGATGGTCTGGGGTGCCATGTCAGCTGCTGCTGTTGGTCCACTGTGTTTTATCAAGGGCAGGGTCAATGCAGCTAGCCATCAGGAGATTTTGGAGCACTGCATGCTTCCATCTGCTGAAAAGCTTTATGGAGATGAAGATTTCATTTTTCAGCACGACCTGGCACCTGCTCACAGTGCCAAAACCACTGGTGAATGGTTTACTGGCCATGGTATTACTGTGCTCAATTGGCCTGCCAACTCTCCTGACCTGAACCCCGTAGAGAATCTGTGGGATATTGTGAAGAGAAAGTTGAGAGATGCAAGACCCAACACTCTGGATGAGCTTAAGACCGCTATCAAAGCATCCTGGGCCTCCATAACACCTCAGCAGTGCCACAGGCTGATTTTCTCCATGCCACGCCGCATTGAAGCAGTCATTTCTGCAAAAGGATTCCTGACCAAGTATTGAGTGCATAACTGAACATAATTATTTGAAGGTTGCCTTTATTGTAATAAAAACACTTTTCTTTTATTGTTTGGATGAAACATGCTTTTTTTTAGATAGGAAATTTGGGTTTTCATGAGCTGTATACAAAAATCATCGATTTTAGAAACAATAAAAGGCTTGAACTACTTCAGTTGTGTGTAATGAATCTAATATATATGAAAGTCTAATGTTTATCAGTACATTACAGACAATAATGAACTTTATCACAATATGCTGTTTTTTTTAAAAGGACCTGTATACGTAGACACCCCGAGGACTGGCACTGCCTATTGGAGCTGCCGTAGTGGTCAGCCGCCATTTTAGATGGGTCTCCATTTGCCCCCAGTGCATTCATTTCTACTGATAAAGGTGCTTACCCAACAAAAAACACATTTTATCAAGTTTTTTCTTCAAATTCAGACAGATGGTATGGCATGATAATTAAAATGTAAATATGATTAAAGAGCAAGTCACCCCCAAATCAACTGTTTTTTGCTGATGAACTATATAAATGTCTAATCATGCTGTAGACACATGTAGTCAATAATCTGGCACTTTAGTGCATCTTAGTTAAAATTTAAATATTCTCCCTAAAACTGTCAGTTCCATGCTGTCGTTCTTTTTTTTAGGTCACTGCCGAGCTGAGCTTAGATTTTAACATGTACTGTTTAATCATGAAATTTAAATGTAATAAGGTAAAACCCAGTGCATTTAACATAATGCTGCACTTTAGAAAATGGGTTGAAATATAACATGTTGGTGAGCTGGGTCCCGAATATCGGCTTGTGGAGCTCTCGGGAGACCGATGTTTTCCACCCGGAATGCCGGCTGTTTCTCCCCGCAGCACGGTCCATCTCTGTCTGATCGCGGCTCCTGTTAGCTACGCGGGCTGACGGCTGGTTCTCCCAGCAGCTCGGCGCATCTGTCTGATCGCGGCTTCTGTGTGCTGCGGCGGGCTGATGGCTGGTTCTTATGGCAAGCCAGAACCGCCAAAATACGCCACTTCTCCCCGCAGCTTGGCGCATCTCTGTCTGATCGCGGCTTCTGTTTGCTGCGGCGGGCTGACGGCTGGTTCTCCCAGCAGCTCGACGTATCTGTCTGATCGCGGCTTCTGTGTGCTGTGCGGCTGCCGGCTTGTGGAGGTCTCGGAGACCTCTGTGTTCCACCCGGTTTTACCCAGCGGTCAGCCCGGCATATCTCTGACTCAGAAGCTCTGGTGATGTGCACAGTTAACTCTGGTTGTAGCTAGGTTGCTACCTCCATTAGCTTAGCTCCCACCTCCGCATTAGCTTTGGGTTAGCTTCAGGTTAGCTTGTAGCTAGTTCGACCTGGTGTCGTCAGTCGATCCCAGCCTTACAGCCCCACCCTCAGCTCCTCCTCTCTTCCCTTTTATGGAATTGGCTGGGCTTGACGGAACCTGTGACACGGTCAAAATGGCGGTGGTGGTCACCTCCCATTTGGCCTCAAAAAAGTGATATTGGAGCCTATGGAAAGTAGATGTCCATAATATTAATGTCGATGGTTTTATTGCAAAGCTTGCATGGGATTTTGTAAATGACTCCACATTTAAGTCCAGCTGATATTTTGTCTTTTGGGTGCACTAGTCTGTTTCTAACTGTTGTGTATGGTTTTGTTGGTGTGTTTATGTTGTGTTTTTTCATATAAATGGAGAAGGAAGTGACGCTACCATCAGCGTCAGCCTGAGGAAGTCTGCAGCCGCAGACGAAACGTAGTGACAAAACAGGTAACAAAACTGTTTCTGTGTTTTAAAAGAAGAACGACGGCATGGAATTAGAACCACGACACAGCAAGAACACACCTAAGATAAAACTGTCAGTGTTGCGCTGTCTTCAGGTAAAATCTCTGCACTGCATTTGAATTCAAATCTGCCATCGCTACTGGCTAAGAGGTACACTATGACGTTAGTTGGTACATTATGATGTCACAATGTCATGCTGAGCCTGTGTGTGTGTATTTGTTAGCAGCTCCACCCTCTCGGTCTGCCAGGCAACAGCATTTGTTGCATTTTTCAAACAGGGAATGGAAGTTGAGTAAGACTCTGGTAGGGGGTGACTTGCTCTTTAAACAAAATAAATAAAAATCCATCAGGCAGGCTAGTAAAGTCAATAGTAATCCTATGTGATCTGTTTTCAATAGTACGCCAATTGTTGCAACCGCAAGCTGCACAAAAACAGGCATAGTCGCTTACTCTGCATCGACTTTGGAGGGTGAGGACACCCATCCAATATGGCGGCGACGCTATTACACTCTCCAGTGCCCAATGGGGCATCTACAATTTGATGTCTATAAGTAAAACATCTATTTATGCAAACAGAAAAAAAAAGCTATGCTGAGATCTAGTTTTGGCATGCTGATTTATGTTCCTGACAGCAGGGGGCGGTATGTTCCTGAACCTGCTTGTGCATGCTTGTGTAGCATTTGTGCTGTTTGAGCATCCGTACCCTTAAAAACACACTGAACAGAATTAGGTGAACTCAATATGCTTGTTGCTGAAATGCATCTGAATATCAGACAGGAAAAAGATTCGACCCCATCCATCCTTCCCCTCCAAAATCCCTGTTCTCTCCACCAAGACTCCAGCACATTTCCAGTTAAACAAGGAGAGTGGCCACATTCATGAGAAATGAACAATAATCAGCTAACACTTACTGCATGACAACTACAGAAAGAGAGGAGGCACATAAAAGGGAAAGAGGCAAAGGCAACAGGGAAATGTTTAAAACATCGTCAAACAAGCTGTTGAAAAAGAATAAATTAAATAAGTTAACAAAAAATAAACAAGTATAATAAAAATAAATAATGTAAAAAAACTACTTCTTTAATACATCTAAAGTAAAAGAGGTAAGCGCACTCTACGTTACATTAAACCACAGCAAGGTGGCGCTGCACGTTCTTTAGTTCTGGTGAGAGATGCAGCTCTTGCGTGGTACCGATCCCATTCTGTAACTGTGGGTGGTCCAGATGGAGTCGTAGTCTGAGTCCTCCGACAGGTCGGAGCTCAGCTCCGGTCGAGAAACGCTGCTACGGCGGCCCGACGAGTCCACACAGGACTGGTCTGAGTCTGCTAGCACGTGGTTGTGCATCAGGTCGGTGCCCTGCCAGGCTGGTGGCGGCGAGCCGAGGCAACAGTGTGAATGCATGAGGGGAGGAGGTGATGGTCGAAAAAAAAAAGTGAGACGGTGCAGGGAGAGGTTTGGGTGGGCGGTGTACGCAACAAAATGGTGAATCACAAAAGCAAGGACAGAGGATGAGAGGATGGAGGAAATTGAAACAGGAAGTTTAAAAAAAGCAAGAGAAACCAACTCAAGGTAAATCAGAAAAATACCAAAGAGTCAGAAATGGAAAAGAGACAGAAAGAGAAGAAGTTGTTAGAAAGATCAGTTCAGAATACCGATTTAAACGAGTACAGAACACAGCTAGTTACTACAGAGTAAAAAGCCTCCCTTTCATTGTACACAAGATGCATTCATCATTATTTTTCTTACTCGAGTTAAGAGTCTGCCTGGTTTTGGCGCTGGTGCAGTAAGCTTCAATCACTTTCAGGATCTGAGCATCCTCCTCCAGAGCAGCTGTACCTGAGGAGGACCAACAGGAGGAAACAAGCTAAGCTAATGGAAACGACAAAAATGTCATTTCTGGCACAATTTGTCATCTAAATCATATGATAAATGATTTATAGAATACAGAAAAATGTCTGTCAGCAATATTTTTCACATTACATTATATTTGATGGTTATTCGCAGCAGAAATTTACAGTGAAGCTCCTTCAAAAGACCTGAATTATTTAAAACGTGACAGAATATTTAAAACCTACTTTTCCTCAAGGCAAATTCCTCCTCAGACTGTTTCCGCTCCGGTTTGCGTTTAGGAAGGAGTTTCTTCACACTCTTAGGACTTTTACTAAGATCCTGCAGGTGGAGGACAAAAGGGCGATGAGCTTGTAGCAGCACGCATGATCAAACTCACCCACACACACACACACCTCTTTGTAGCAGAGAGCAGCAGACGGGCGTAGTGGCGGTGCAGGTCGCAGGCAGCTCAGGCTCCAGGGTTTGGGCGTGTTGGGTGGTTCCAGTGGGCCCCACATCAGAATGCTGTGGGATGTCCCGTAAGAGGATGGGTGGGGTAAGGTGTGGTAGGTGGGTGCTACTGTCATGGACCTTCCCTCAGCATGTCGCGATGGAGTGAAAGGGTGAGATGGAAGCTAAGAAGACGAGATGAAGAGAACAAGGATCAGGTTTCATCTTTTTCTCCTTTTAAACCTAAAAATTATAGTAGAAATAATCTTTTTTTTTTAATAAAATGCACATTTCTAATTATAATCCCTGAATTGTATTTTATTTTTTAAATCCATCTTTTTCTAAATTTAACATAAAAATTCTTGCAGGTCATATTTCTGCAGGGTTCAGGCATTTCTGAGATTAATTTTGATCAGGTTTTGGATGCTTTAAAATAAATTATGATTATCTAAAGGAAATAACCAATCTCCTATTTCTAATAAATCTGATTTAAACCTTCATTTAAAGTCCCACTTATGGGAAGTAAGTTGTTTCTTGCTGATGCAAAGCTCCTATTGTAAACACACTAGTTCATCATTGTCTTAGATAAGTGAATGGTATATAATAAGCCACTAAAGCTGATTTCTATGCATTTGTGTTTTTAATGCAATTTTGTGTTGCAGCCACAAACCACTTTACACAGAGCCACTTCAGATGATTGCTACAGATTATGTAGTCCAGCCTGTCCTCGACATATTGATTTTTATGGTCGGAGTTGGCGTAACATCAGCATATATTTAAATGATCTCAGGGTGGAAACCGTATGTGGCGTGAATGAACAGAAAGAAAATTTAACTCCTGACCGTGTGGCAGGGAACGGTGAGCGGTTTGTGGCTGGGCGCCGTGGCAGCGGTGTGTTTGATCTGTCTCGTCAGGTGTTCCACCCAGTCCTGCAGGTCCTGCTGGTTCGAGCAAATCACCTGAAGACGGTCAAACATCGTACCTGCATGGACACCAGCTGTGTTGTTAAAGGCCTCGCCTATAAAATATGTACATCTACAGTTATGATGCAATCTTACCGTTGAGCTCAAAAGCATTTTTATGGGCTTCACAGTCTTCTAGTTTGGTCACCATCATGGCAGCCAAAGGCAGTTTTCCCTACAAGGACAAATAACCACATGACATTGAGGAAATAAATGCATTCATCAGCATTTGCAAAAGGGAACAAAATAAGTGCACCAAATGAATCAACATCACAGAATGTATTAGATGAGTTCCATCCACGAGCTCAGCAGCGCTTTCTTGCAGCTGGTCCTGCGAGGTCACGAAGTCACCAGAGAATTGCAAGATCACGCATGATGTCATGATATATAACAAGTAAGGAGAAAGATGGCAGCATGTATTCAGAAGGTCTGTGGTTTATTTTCTGTTCATTTAACCTTAGCCACAAGGGTGTAGCGAGCAGTGATGCCAGGAACATGTTACTTAGTAACGCATTACTCTAAAATTACCATTTTTTCCAGCAACGACTAATCTCCTATTTCCATATCAGCAATCAAATTAAAGCCCCGTGTCCAAGGCAGTATGCCCAACTGGTAACTATTTTTGTGTAACTGCTTTTGTGCTTTGCAAAGCTGGCAAAACCAGCGACAGGAATAGCAAGACACGTCTAACCAACAACAGCAGTTATACAGCACTCAGAGCAAGCAGCATATTAAGCTACTATAGGTTCGAACTGCACCGCGATCCCATCCCATTGGAATGGAAGCGCTACTCGTGGTGCTAAATTAACACCAACCAAAAATAGCACCATCAGAACACTAAACAAAAGACTAACGACATCCAGCACAACGCTGGCAACAAAACACACTAGGGATGTCCCGTTCCAATATCGATATCGGAAGTAATTCAATATCGGCCCCAAACCAGTGTATTGGATTATATCGGACGGCATCAAAAATATATGATATAAGCAGTTCGTTAAGGTTCACATTGTTGCAACCAATGACTACGAAAAAAATGTCGTTTTTTTCATACTTACTGCTATTGGCTCTTGTTCTCGTATTGAGTAATATCACTTGATCAAGCCTTTCATACATTCCACACTATGAAATAGGTAAAAGTATGTATGATTTGTGCTGATATCATATCGGATTAATATCAGTATCAGTCAGTACTGAAGGCTGCAGTATCTGTATCATATTGGAAGTGAAACTTTGTATCGGGACATCCCTAAAACACACCAAAATAGAACAAGCAACTGGAAACCTGGCTACCCACAATGCACCACACCTGCTGCTTGTTCCGCAGACACTAGTGGCACTAGTGACCCCGCCCACTGCTGAAGTGACAAGAGATGAGGCTCATTGTGGGTAGCTGATTTTCAGTTGCTTTGTCCTTTATTGGTGTGTTTTGTTGGGGTTTTATTGCTAGGTTTGTGTTAGCTGTTGTTTGTCTCTTGTTCAGTGTTCCGATGGTGCTAGGGTTAGGGGTTCCATTCTGAGTGCCATTCTGCTTTTCATCAATGTGGCTCACAGTAATCTTGGGTTTCAGTGTGTTTGTTCATGCTGGATGCTAGCTTTGGCATACCCCCCCACGAAAAGGGAGCCTAAGTCACGCCCATCTACTTCCACATCATGGGTCCCTGGAAGAACGAAAAAAGGAATGCAAGTCAACGGGGCTAAAAACATTAATTTCCAATTCCGCTTGTTTTGTGCCGTGGACTTCACATATGACGTCCGTGAATTTTAAAGACACATTTTTATACCAAGAACGTGCTTATTTTCAAATGGGGGGGGGACGCTATTTTAGGTTTCGTGTGAAAATAAGTCCAGGACAAAAGTGACTCTTGACAAAAGTGACGTCATCAAACCAGACATGGAGAAAACTGAGGGAAAAGGGCTATAAGTTCAGCAAGCTTCCCACAGGAGGAAAGAACCATCATAAATCTGGTCATTTGGTAAGTATAAGCTACGTTAGGGGAGAGGAGATCATGTGGTGACGTGCCAATTTCTAGTTTGTAGTCATGCTAATTACGAACTTTTACAAGCTGATAAATTTCAAAGTGCGTGACTGGAGTGGTTGAAACACCCATCATTACTTTTCATTGAAATTGCAGTACAACATATGTGCGATCCAGGGTGTATGGCAAAGCGGATTAGAAAATTGTCGTTCTTCCAGGGACCCATGAGCCGACCGGAGAGGGAGGAGACTTGGGCTCCCTATTGTGTTGGCATAGCAAAACTGATGGCTGCTTTCTATGTTGAGGCAATGGGTTTAGTTATTGGCAGCTGTTAAAAATAATGAATAAAGTATCTTCAAATCTAACTTACTTACTTTTAACATAAAGTAATCAGTAAAGTAACTGAGTTACTTTTGGAAAGAGTAAACAGTAGTCAGTAATAGAATAACTATTTCAAGGTAACTGTGGCAACACTGGTAACGAATACAGCTGGAAATCTAAATATATATTTTATTTTGAAAGTTGGCAGATGCTGTTTGAATTCTGGAAACTAGGGCTGCACGATATTAGGAAAACCTGCGATATTCGATAACAGTGCTTAATATTACTATATCGATATTACTCACGATAAATGAACAGATACTAAAGTATGCAGTGTTGATGTCATCTGGCGTGTGATGTCTGCTCTGGGTTCAAAGCAAACAAAAACTAATGCATGAATTCCATTACAACATAACATTTTTATTGCAAAAATATGCAGCTGCAACTGCTACTGTATTAGCAGCAAAACAACAAACTGCATGCATGCAGTTTCTCAGTGACTTTAAAACATCACCATAACCATAAATCTTTTTCTGATGCTCCAAATACAGAAAAACATCCCTTACCAGGGTTTTTGAATAAATAAAAAAAATCAGAAAATAAGTTTAAATGTTAAATAATAGTTAACATCACTTAAATGCAACAGCAAATTCTCTCATTGCTACTGAACATTTTCTCCACTTATGTGGTTATGAGATAAGGCTGTTGCTGTAACTGGGAAGTGAACTGTGCTGGGCCAAACTAGGAGAATATTAAGATTTTCTGAGGGAAAAACAATTGTCTACCTTTCAGAAGAGGAACTGGCAAAAAAACTACATGGAAAATATGTGAAAACGTTTGTTTTTAACCCCAAATTGAGCAAGTTTACCTAGATCTTAAAAAGCAGCTCAGATGATGAAACTGCAACTATGATTCTGATAACAAGCTAACAAACTGAACTAGCTCCTCTAAGATAACTGGCTAGCAGAGCTTCTGACTGACAGTTTATGTGCAGCAGCAAATCAACTATCCTGATTAACAAGGTTATAAAAGCTCATAAATGAAAAATCACTTTGATGTGTGGGGGAACTTTTCCAGGCCCACTTTAGCAGGGTGGGACTGGGAGGAGAGTGCTGTAGCCTTTTAGCTGGAAGCTAACCGGACCCTGGGGCTAACGTCACCACCCGGTGGAACACTAGCGACATGGAGGTAGGTGGGTTGGTTCACCGGCACGTGTCGGAGTCAGCCCGGTTATTATCAGCTGCTTAATGACACCGAGCGGACTCACGTTCACGTTTGAAAGCAGCGCTGATTCTAGAAACCTCAGCACAAAGTGCGTTCGTTGCTCTGAGCCAGCATGACGAACAAGGGAAGCGAGCGGCAGCGGAAAGCAGGGGCGGAGCGGAGATAGTACAATTTTGGGGTAAGGGTCTACGTGGGGGGGGGGGGGGGGTATTACGTGAATGGACCCATCTGATTGGCCGCATTTCAGAAGGGCTACATTTGACTGGTCAAATAATTCTTCTGCGTAAAAATACAGCTGGTTTACAGAAAGTTGATGTATGACACGGATGGAAATGTTTGAACCAAACATTTATCGCCGTTTTTGACGTGCTTTGCGATGGGCCTATCGCACGTCCTGTTATCGTGATGACGATAATTTTTCGATATATTGTGCAGCCCTACTGGAAACATAGCGCATAAAATATAGACTCAACGTTTAAGATTAGCGCAACACCATTTCTTGGACGTGTAAAGATGCAATGCTTTGGCTCTGAGTATAATTTTTATGTGTCACTCTTCTAGAAAGGGTCAAACTCAGCAGATCAGATCAAACCAGACAGGAAGTCAAATACTAAAGCAGTGGAAAACATCTGGAAACTTTCAAAATAAAAGTCATAGTAAATTTACAGTTGTTTTTCTGTAAAACTGCTGTGTTGCAGCTCTTCAGTCTTTTCTCTTTCACTGCCGTTTAGCCTCTGAAATGCTTTTTGTGGGAAGAGAGCACGTGGTAAAACGCGTCTATTACGTTAAGCGACGCGTTTACATCTAGTGGAAAGCCTGGTAAGAAAATATGACTAACCTGGAATATGAAGCCACTCATCCTGGGACTAGCAGACAACATAAGAAGGATGTGAGGGAAAAGCATCAGGTAGCGTTCATTCTTGTCCTAACAAATAAAAGGATGAATACATTTAGTAAATAATCCAGGCTGTGGATCTAAACCACACTAGTGGGTTTAATCACAGCTACAACTTAGCTTGCATCCACAAGGATAAATAAACAGGTAGAAGTAACATGAGCACCTCTGACATGGGGCTCTGGACTAAGACCTGGCTCATGTAGATCACAGAGCCCAGGGTCTTGATGTCGTCCCCCTCCCACAGACGGATGTTCTCAGTAAGAATCTGCAGCTCCAGCTCCTTTCGTTTCCTCACCTCCTGACACTGAGCCTGGTGTTACAAATACACAAAACACACACACCTGTTTATAGTTCAACCTAATCAGAATCAGAATCAGAAAAATTTTTATTGCCATTGTCAGTGAACAAACAATTCACAAACTAGGAACTTGCTTCGGTACTAACGTGCTACATATAACATGAATAATATAATTAAAAATAGAATAAAGTAGAATAAAATATAATAAACTAGCATAAAACTTTGCTATAAAAAAAGGCAGGTAATGGTAATATGGCCGATAATGTGACGGTATGTCAAGTACAGAAGACGATCATGGTTGTGTATTTATAAGCTGTTCACAAGTCTAACGGTAGATGGAAAGAAGCTGTTCTTATGGCGGGAGGTTCTGGTCCGGATGGACCGTAACCTCCTGCCTGAGGGAAGCGGCTCAAAAAGTCTGTGACCCGGGTGAGAAGGGTCAGCTGCTATCCGACCTGCACGCCCCCGAGTTCTGGAGACGTACAGGTCCTGGAGAGATGGAAGGCTGCAGCCAATCACCTTCTCAGCAGAGCGCACAATGCGCTGCAGTCTATTTTTGTCCCTCACTGTGGCTCCAGCGTACCACACAGCGATGGAGGAAGTGAGGATGGACTCAATGATGGCCGTGTAAAACTGCACCATCGTCTGGGCCGGCAGCTTGGCCTTTTTCAACTGCCGCAGAAAGTACATCCTCTGCTGGGCCTTTTTGAGCAGGGAGCTGATGGATGGCTCCCACCTAAGGTTATGAGTGATGGTGGTTCAGAGGAAGCGGAAGGAGTCCACAGTGGTGACGGGGGTGTCCGTCAGGACGAGGGGGAGAGCTGGTTAAATTACCTACACAACCTGACTTAATGACTTTAACAATTTTCGTCCGGTATCCAACTTACCATTTTTAAGCAAAATTTTAGAGAAACTTGTTTTAATACAACTTAACGATTTTATCAACCACCAACATGTCCTAGAGAAATTTCAGTCTGGTTTTAGGGTGAACCACAGCACTGAGACGGCCCTTCTGAAGATTTTAAATGATTTTAGAACAAATTATGATGCTCGGAGGGCAACAGTGTTGGTTCTGCTGGATCTAAGCGCTGCCTTTGATACAGTAGACCACACTATTCTTTTAACCCGTTTAAAACAGATCGGCCTCTCTGGTGTTGTTCACAGTTGGTTCACTTCCTACCTCACAGACAGGACTTTTATGGTGAGTCTGGATACCTGTTCCTCTGGGGTCCACAGCATCACATGCGGGGTGCCTCAGGGATCAATTCTAGGCCCAGTGCTTTTTAACCTCTATATGCTCCCTCTGGGCATCGTCATCAGGAGACACGGGGTGAATTTCCACAGTTACGCTGATGATACACAGTTGTACATCTCCATGTCTCCTGATGACGCACAGCCAATGGAAACACTTTTTAATTGCATTTTAGATATTAAATCATGGATGACTGAAAACTTTCTCCAGCTCAACCAGGGCAAAACTGAAGTTTTAGTCATCGGTCCTGAGGCCCAGAGAGAGAAACTTTTACCTAAACTACAGTCAATGTCTTTTTATCCATCACTACAAGTGAAGAATCTGGGCATTATTTTCGCCTCTGAGCTGACTTTTATTCCCCACATTAAAAACATCACAAAAATAGGTTTTTACCATCTTAAGAATATCGCCAGAGTCCGACCTATTCTCTCTCGGGCCAATGCGGAGACGCTAGTGCATGCTTTTATAACCAGTAGAATTGATTACTGCAATGCCCTGCTTTCTGGTCTTCCCAAAAAGAGCATCTCAGGTTTACAACTCTTACAAAACTCAGCAGCACGTGTCCTGATGAAGACCAGGAAGCGGGAGCACATCACTCCGGTTTTAAAATCACTGCACTGGCTCCCCGTATGTTTCAGGATTGATTTTAAGGTTCTTTTAATGGTTTTTAAGTGTCTTAATGGTCTTGGGCCTTCTTATCTTTCAGAACTGCTTTTACTGTATAAACCCTCGCTGTCTCTGCGCTCCTCTGGCAGCCGTCTCCTAGTTATCCCTAAAGTTAAGACTCACACCCACGGCGAGGCGTCCTTCAAGTATTACGGCCCTCGCCTTTGGAACGGGCTGCCGGAGGACCTCAGGTCCGAAGGGAACATCCAGGCTTTTAAGAATAGGCTCAAGACCCACCTTTTCAGCTTAGCTTTTAACTGATCACTATTTATCTATAAATACATATTTATCTCTTTTATTATTTTTATCATTTTATCTACATCTTAGTGTTTTTACATGATTATGTTTTCTTTTACTATCTTTATAATCACTTTTTATCAGTTACTTTTTATCATTATTAGCTTTTATTATTTTATATGTTATATATCTTAAATCCTCCAGTGTTTCCTCTGCGGAGCCCTCTGCCTTGAGGCCGGTGGTCAGGGGCGGCGGTGGCCGGGGCGCTCCCCGGGTAGTGCCCGGGCACTGGTGGGGGTTTCTGCCCTACGCCACTGGGCGTCATGGGCCGGTGTCTTGGCTGCTGCCGTGGATCTGTTGCTGCCAGGGCAGATGGCTCCGCTGATGATGTGTCGTTCATTACCTGACCCATCTGAACTCAGCCTATTGTTTACTCTGGTGTTCACGAGTGTGTGTGCGTGCGTGTGTGTGTGTGCATGGACGAGTGTGCGGGTGATTGTATGTCCACTTTTGGAAGTTGGGTGCGGGAGGGGAACTGTAATTTTTAATTGTTTTATACTTGGAGAGGGGGGCTGGGAATGTGGGATCTATGGGGCCATTTTAATCTGTAAAGCACTTTGAGTTGCATTTTTTGTATGAAAAGTGCTATATAAATAAAGTTGATTTGATTTGATTTGACATAACTGGAGAGGAAGTGTATTGAACTCACAGACAGATTTCTAAAAGCCACCATGCACTTCAGAATGTCTGGTCTGTCAGGATGACTCTCCTACAAAAACACAAACATGTAGCTTTTTAGACACAAAAATAAGATACAAACTAAAGTGCGTGTCCAAACACACACCTCCATATGTCTCTCCAGCTCTTTGAGTAAGGTGGGGTATTTGTCCAGTCTCATAAAGGGTTTACTGAGGCCCGTGGTCAGGGGAAGGATCCCAGGACTGACGGCACCGCGTCCCTCCATGAACTCCCCCAGGGCATCGCTGAAACCAGCAGAAAGGGAGGAATGAAAAAGAAAACATTAGAGATGAATCATTTGGAATATTTAGTCATTTTTATTAGATTTACAAGTCATTTTCAGATTGATTTCACCTTTTCAATTCATGCACAATTCAAAAATGTTGTATGTATTTTTTTTATTTACCACCACCATATCTAAAGAAAATGATAATATTGGGAATTTAATATGAATTTTTGCAGTTTAGAACACTTTCTCATACTTGATGCTGCATTAAAATTCACAGTTTCAATGAGTTCCAGCATTTGTTTTACAGGTCCTTCTAAAAAAAATAGCATATTGTGACAAAGTTCATTATTTTCTGTAATGTACTGATAAACATTAGACTTTCATATATGTTAGATCCATTACACACAACTGAAGTAGTTCAAGCCTTTTATCGTTTCTAATATTGATGATTTTGGCGTACAGCTCATGAAAACCCAAAATTCAGATCTCAAAAAATTTGCATATTTAATCCGACCAATAAAAGAAAAGTATTTTTAATACAAAAAAAGTCAACCTTCAAATAATTAGGTTCAGTTATGCACTCAACACTTGGTCAGGAATCCTTTTGCAGAAATAACTGCTTCAATGTGACGTGGCATGGAGGCAATCAGCCTGTGGCACTGCTGAGGTGTTATGGATGCCCAGGATGCTTTGATAGCGGCCTTAAGCTCATCCAGAGTGTTGGGTCTTGCATCTCTCAACTTTCTCTTCACAATATCCCACAGATTCTCTATGGGGTTCAGGTCAGGAGAGTTGGCAGACAATATGAGCACAGTAATACCATGGCCAGTAAAACATTTACCAGTGGTTTTGGCACTGTGAGCAGGTGCCAGGTCGTGCTGAAAAATGAAATCTTCATCTCCATAAAGCTTTTCAGCAGATGGAAGCATGAAGTGCTCCAAAATCTCCTGATGGCTAGCTGCATTGACCCTGCCCTTGATAAAACACAGTGGACCAACACCAGCAGCTGACATGGCACCCCAGACCATCACTGACTGTGGGTACTTGACACTCGACTTCAGGCATTTTGGCATTTCCCTCTGCCCAGTCTTCCTCCAGACTCTGGCACCTTGACTTCTGAATGACATGCAACATTTGCTTTCATCCGAAAAAAGAACTTTGGACCACTGAGCAACAGTCCAGTGCTGCTTCTCTGTAGCCCAGGTCAGGCGCTTCTGCCGCTGTTTCTGGTTCAAAAGTGGCTTGACCTGGGGAATGCGGCACCTGTAGCCCATTTCCTGCACACGCCTGTACACGGTGGCTCTGGATGTTTCTACTGCAGACTCAGTCCACTGCTTCCGCAGGTCCCCCAAGGTCTGGAATCGGTCCTTCTCCACAATCTTCCTCAGGGTCGGGTCACCTCTTCTCGTTGTGCGGCGTTTTCTGCCACACTTTTCCTTCCCACAGACTTCCCACAGAGGTGCCTTGATACAGCACTCTAGGAACCGCTTATTCGTTCAGAAATTTCTTTCTGTGTCTTACCCTCTTGCTTGAGGGTGTCAATGATGGCCTTCTGGACAGCAGTCAGGTCAGCAGTCGTACCCATGACTGCGGTTTTGAGTAATGAACCAGGCTGGGAGTTTTTAAAAGCCTCAGGAATCTTTTGCAGGTGTTTAGAGTTAATTAGTTGATTCAGATGATTAGGTTAATAGCTCGTTTAGAGAACCTTTTCATGATATGCTAATTTTTTGAGATCGGAATTTTGGGTTTTCATGAGCTGTATGCCAAAATCATCAATATTAGAAATGTAGCGTAATGGTTTATGGCTCTTTTATTAAAGAGGAACCATTCTACAGAATAATCTGGAATATTAATTTTTACAAATTAATAACCAAATGTTATAGAGATAAGAAGACTCAAAGGTTTTCATCGATAAACTGACGATAATATCCGTGTGTCTGTGTTTCAGTTCAATGAAAAGACAAGTTTGAAATTTAAGAGTTTTAATTCTTCAATTTAAACTAATGATTTGAAATGACAATCATAGGAAAAATAATCAACATTGGCAACCTTGTTGGACAATCTTTAACAGCTGATATTTTAAGCTTGCACAAATAGACCTTGTGTTGGATGTGCTAAGATTTGTGCTTTGGCTTGAACTACTTCAGTTGTGTGTAATGAATCTAATATATATGAAAGTCTAATGTTTATCAGTACATTAATGAAATGATATGCTAATTTTTTGAGAAGAACCAGTACTTTTTATATTTTAAAACCTTTCAAAGATTTGTTTTGAAAACAGACATTTATTTAGATTTCAGGCTGTGCTGCTTCCTGCTAGTTTTAGACAGAATAAATGTTTTTATATTTAATTTTTTTTTGCTTCCTCATCCTTAAAGATACAACATTTCTGGTTTTAAAACCTAAAATATAATTCCAACTCAACTCTAACCTAAAAAATTCCTTCAGCTTTATTTCAAGCACTAATAATTAACAAAACATGATTTCCCAATCTAAGACTGAAAATATAACTTTTGAAGTGAAAAGTTCCATAAATAAAGATTGTTAATTGCTACCAATAAAGGTTGTTTAGTGATAGTGTTTCAGATTTATTTAAAATAAAATAAAAAGTCTGATTGTGTTTTCTATGACCCAGAAGAAAGCTGATGTACCGGTGTTGGGTGAGCACATTCACTGCAGAGGGATGGTTGGAGCAATAACCAACATAGAGAGCCTTCATCTGTGGCATGAGGTTCAGGAAGAAGCTGCCTATTCTTTGCTGGCTTTCTGGAAGCCTAATTAAAAAAAAACACACATCAAACATAAAGAAATCATTTCCAAGTGAATTATGATGAGAAAAAAACAGAGTGGAGCAGAAATATGAGGTCCAAGTCTACTAAATGAGCTAGAAACAGCATTTAAAGCTGCTTTGCGGAGTTTTCCTCTTTCAGAAATTATGTATGATTTGTCAGAAATCCGTAAAAGTGATTACCCTATCATGTACTGTGATATAATATAAGCAATACATCTTTTTTTAATTTTTTGCTAAGCACGCCCCCTGCCTGGCAGAGCTCCGTGCAATAGGAAACTGAGCGCCGACCAGAACTAACCAATAGCGTTAGACGCTTCAAATGTAAGGAAAACCTCAGCTGATGCAGAGTTGATTAACTTTTCACAGACAAGAAAGTCTCTAAAATATAAATATATGAAAACACAACATGACATGAGAATAATACTCGTAAAACAACATGTTTTAGCTGTTTGTCGGCTACAGAAGCACATTTATAAACAGAAACATGAAGTCGCCATCTTAAAAAAAACAGAGGAACAGCGGTTTTGTGTGATACGCTTGTCAGCCACTAGATGGTGCCATTAAATAAGAGAAATACCTCGGAAAGAAGCTTTAAATGTGTTTATGGTTCAATCCAAAACCCTGTAGTGCATAAAACCCAACACAAGATGTCACTCTGCTTTATAAATGTGTTTTGGAGGGACTAACTTGGTGCTGTCCTCCAGGGATTGGACCAACATCTGCTGGAAGGTGCTGATCTCCTCAAGGTTCCCCAGGATCAGGGCCACGTCTGAGCTGCTCACTCTGGAGGGGAAAGTGATCGTTCAAAACCACAAAAGACTCACAGGGACATGTGAAAATAGGTCACATGGTCTGTTGCTTTCATTGCCAATTAAGAAAAGAACCAACATAGACTCAGTTTCTAGAAAAAGGTACATAAAAGAGACGATTATGTAAGCAAGTCCTACTTCTCGATGTTCTGAAGAGGCCGCAGGTAGTTTGTGAGGAGGCTCTGGAGGTCTTTGGAAAATTCTGTCTCAGTTTCTAAAATATTTTGTAAAACCTGTAACAAAAAGACAAAAAAACACCTAAGACAAGGGTTTCGTCAGGTTCAACTGCTTTTAGCTTTGTTGTTCACCTAATTATACTTTGATTACTTGAAAAGATTACAGTTAGTCAGAAGATAAGTCACAATATGAATGGATCATGTTCATGTGAATAAAGCTCGACAGTGCTTGGATTATAAATCACTCCATGTCCTTTATTATTCATTGATTTATCCCTGTCTTATTTACTGTGTAGAGGTATGGGGTAACACTTATAAAACATCTATTGTACCCTTGTCTATCATACAGAAAAGAGCCCTGAGAGTCATTCCCAATGTTAGATTTAGAGAACACACGTTATTTATATATTCAAAAACACTAAAATTTAAAGATTTACTTCAACTATATACAGCGACGTTCATGTATAAAGTGCATAGGAAATGATTACCAAACAAATTATTAATGCTATTTATAAAACCAGATAACGTATATAATTTCAGATACAAACTTAACTTTAGGCATACATATTTTAGAACAACATTAAAGTCATTTTGTATTTCTGTTACGGGTGTAAAAGCTTGGAATAAGCTAAGTGGGGATCTAAAGCAAAGTCCCTCATTGCATAAGTTTAAAGAGAAGAATAAAAGAATTATACTAATTAATTACATGGAGGAGGAAAAGTTGTAAGGGTGTCGCATTTGATTGTAATTGTCTATTGTTGGTGAACTGAGAGCTGTGAATATTGGGGGGGGGGGACATAAAAAAATTTCAATTTTGTTTGTGTGATTGAGGATAAAACATGTTATAAGAAAATGGCTATGACACTCAGTGTAGGGCAAATAATTTTTTGTTTTATCTTCCTTGAAATTCGATTTGGGGGGGATTATATAAGCTACCAGAGCTTCTTTCCCTTCCAATTGAACATGTTCTACACACACATATATATATATATATATATGCATATACACATATGTATGGGTTTCTTTTTGAATACTTTTTGAATACTTTAATTTGTCTATTGATTTACATGTTCAATAAAGAAAGAAATGAGAATGAGAATGTACAAATATGATAAAAATAAGAGTCTAAATCTGAGTTTTGCATGTCCTCCAAGCTAAACATAAAGCAAACCATCATAAAAAGCGCAAATAAACACAAAAATCTGTTTTAGAACCAAAACAAACACACATTCATCACTGTGAGAGACAGAAATCCTTGCTCACTCACGCACACCACGCTGCTTTGATCACATATTTGAGGAGACAGACCGACTCTCAGGGGAGATGATTAACAGACAAGATTGGAAGGAACAAAAAATCACGCACCACTTTCAGTTTCAATATGTCTAAATCAACGTTCTGGTGAAGAATGAAGGAGACTTTTATTATTTAGTGTTGCTTCCTTACCAAGTTATAGTAGGTCTTGCTGATTACAGATGTGTCGAAGCCTTTAGGTGGGCTCTTCAGGGTGCCAGACTTGGGGGACACTTGCTTATCTGTTATCAGAGAAGGAACTAATTACACATTTCTACTTTTACTCTATTTTACCTGAAGGTGAAATGTGTCTGCGACATCAACCTTTCACTATCGCTCAAATCAAACAGTGAATTTAATTATAGAGTAAAGATGAAGAATCAGAACTAGCTCGTCTATATTTCTCATCTCTGGAAATGTAGCTGCACAATATTCATAAAACTATGATAAATAACTCAATTTTTCCACAGATAAAACAAATAAATAAATCACATTTAATGTATTTGTCCATTTAACAACAGATCCCAAACAATAATGAACTCCGCAAGACACACGCGCGCACACGCACACACACACACACACACACACACGCACGCACGCACACAAAGTGTAACTAGAAGCTGTGCTTTCTCTTTTTAATTTCTGAGAATGCACATTATCTGCTTGCACTCCCTTCATCTACTGATGCCACGTGGCTTCTCGTTCTGTCACAGCAGCATAAAAACAGCAACCACAGCAGCCCTAAAGCAATTAGTGACACTGTTACTGTCACAAGACCAGGGACGACAACAAAAGCAGCTGTGATGCTGCGTACGATCGCCAAGTCAAATTTCACAAGATTTGCTCACAACAATACATTTTACAGAATCGTGCAAAGGCTGGAGGATTATTTACCCACATAATGAATCAATTATTCCCTGGTAACTTCAGAATAAGTTGTAAAGGAAACAGCCTGAGCAGAAATCCTTAGATTTCCATAGCTTTTACATTTCCACTGTGCATTCTCAATCAACATTTTAACTCTTATCAAAGAGCTGAGCTGAATCTTTACTAGTCATATTTAGGTGAATGTATTCGTAGCACCTACCAGAACCCTTGATTTCTTTCACATAGTTGCTAGGAAACCACCCGGTCCTCCCACTGAGCGACCCTTCCCACCAGCCTCCCTCCTCCTGACGAGTCACGTTGATGATGTCACCCTTATTAAAGGTGAGCTCATCCTCATTGGTCTGCTGGAAGTTGAACCGAGCCCTCACCAGCAGCTGCTGGCTGCTGTTTTCTGACATGTCCTGATTGAGGGAGGAGAGGATTTCCATCAGGAGAAACAAATGAAAACAGAAATTGTGTGTGTGTGTGTGTGTGTGTGTGTGTGTGTGTGTGTGTGTGTGTGTGTGTGTGTGTGTGTGTGTGTGTGTGTGTGTGTGTGTGTGTGTGTGTGTGTGTGTGTGTGTGCGTGCGTGTGTGTGTGTGTATCTTACCAGACTTCTAAACTGGTTCTGCAGCAGCTTGGAGGATCGGCCCAGTGAAGCCTGACAGGATAGTGACTCAAATGACTTGATGCGGTGGGCGGAAGAGTGGCGGGCGCACACCGAATCACTGCCAACACCAATATCTACACAAACATGTAGGAGTATAAATACACCAGTCTGCACCCACTCACGAACAACTTCCCTTTCTTTAATTAAAAGCATCCAGAGGTGCTTATATAAGAGTCGATGGGTCTATTTTGACAAACCTGCAGTCACTTTATTGAGCGTAACCAGACTGCTCAGCACCTTGGAGAAGTTCAGGCCCAGGAGCAGGTCACTGGCCTCGAACGGCTGTGGACAGACGACAGAACACAGAAGAAACAAATTACTTCCCCTTATAAGAGTCAGTCGGCAGATCCGTGACATCAGCCGACCCAGCGCCAACGCCGAGCAGTCAATCGATGAGTCTCACCATCATTCACAGACATGGTTCGGAAAACACAAGCTCAGCACGGCGTTTAGCTACAGCAGCTACACACTGCAGTCTTGTATCCTAGTGTTTCTCACAAAACTAAAGCCTCACACACAGGATTATTATTGTTGAGGGTCTGACCTCATGAGGAAATTACTATGCAGTGATTTTCTCCAAAATGACTGTGCTTAAATTGCTCTGAAAAGCAAATAATCACATCAGCGCCAAGAAACTTCATTTCCCATGATGCTTTGCACACGGAAGCATTGTGATGACGTCACCGCCTAATACCAGAAACACGATCTGCGGGAGGCGGGAGCTTGGAGCTTTCCCGCGACTTCAAAGACTATAAATCATGAATGAGACAAAGAAACCTCGTTCTTTTGCCCAGGATACCTGGCGGTAAGGACACGCTTATCGACGCTCCGACAACTTGAGCACGCGGAAGCTCTAAGTGCCAAGTTGAGCCACGGAACTGCTGGAAACTAAACTGCAAGCCCATCAGATCTGCTCGTTTCTGCTCCCCTCCAGCTGATGTTTGAGGACACAGAACTGCGGAGGGAAACAACAACTCCATCCAGCTCTCAGAAACGCTGTAAGTTATAACTCAGCACAGAAAGAAACTTTGCTGTCTCTGTCCAGCCCGTGGAGAAACACTCGTGAACGCCAAACAACGGAGAAAGCATCAAACCGACGGATGACGCCGGAAACTGCGGAGAAAAACGGAGAACCGTCAAGTCATAACAGCGGGGGACGCCTTGCTGCTTTGGTGATCAGGAAACTCATTTTTTTCTCTCCTTTTCTTCTCCCGTTTCCTCTATAGTCTCAAATAAGCAATAAACCGCGTCTATTGCTTAAAAAGTAGCTTCGTGTTTTCCTCTTTCGTCCCAAACACGTCCGTCGGGTCATTTTGAAAGAATAAACTGCTTATTGATCATTGTTTGGTATCTTAAAATGGTTTCTGTCATGGCCAGGCTGAAACTAAAAGATATTAATTTGTGATTAATCTTTTGTGTTGTTTCATGATCTTTTTAAATGTTTTGAGTGATTTAAGGTTAAGTTACTACTGATTCTAAGTGCTTTGGAAGTTAAAGTGCAAGTTGCCACCCACACTTTAGCCAGACAAAGGGGTCAGCCATCTTGTATTCAAGACTCCATTTTGAATCCATACACACGCACACACACACACACATACACACTACTCCTTTGTGAGAACAAAGGACCCCATTCATACATCCTCCATCACATGCAAACACATCCATCTTCAATCATATCACACGGTTATTATTCATCTATTCCACTGTTTATTCATTTGACAAATTGTTAATTAAACGTTATAAAATTCAGATTTTCGTCTCCAGTAGCTTTGTTGTGTCGAAGAGAAGTCTCTGCTCCAAGGATTCTACGAACTTCAAGAAAGACTGATAAGAGTTTTGGATTCAATTTTTCCCCGGAAAAAGGGGAATGGTGCCCCGTATATCTAAGAATATCTTAATTAATTAATAAATCAGTAAATATTTACATATTTACAGAATTTATTGAAGAATCCAAAAGTAAGTTAACGCTTGCGAATTGTTCGCTCCTAATAACCCCAACATTTTATTGGTGCAGCCCGTGTGAGGCTTGGATACACAGAGATTTCTATCCGGCACAAACAAACAAATAAATCCAAAGAGCTTGAATTAAAAATAATCCGTTGTTCAGCCTTGAACCAGCAACAGAGTGGTGCTGATTTCGCTGAGCAGGAAGCTGCATCGAACTCTCACCAGTAACTCAGTGCTTCTTTAAAGGTGCAACGTGTAAATTAATTCTGGTTGACCTTTTAGGTTAAAAATTCAGTTTTTCCTTAAAGGTGCAACGTGTAATTAATTCTGGCTAACCTTTTAGGTTAAAATTCAGTTTTTCCTTAAAGGTGCAACGTGTAATTAATTCTGGCTAACCTTTTAGGTTAAAATTCAGTTCCTCATTAAAGGTGCAGCGTGTAAGTAATTCTGACTAACCCTTTTAGGCTAAAATTAACTGCTAATTTAGCGACTTTAACTCACAGTGGCTATTATAACTAACTGAAACCTTCACTCAAAGACTGATAACACCCTGTTTGCTAATATTCTGAAGGAATAACTAGCATATTTAACACTGCAAGTGTTGTAAGACGTTGCTACGGCAACGCACCAGCTTTTGCTAAAATACTGAAAGGAATAGTATTTTAGGCGTTAGTCACGGCATTCCGTGCAATCTTAAAACGCTAAAACCTGTGCGCACAAAGGTTAATTTAGTGGTTTTTCTGCTACAAAGCTAGCAGTTGCTGCCCAAAAGGTGCAGCTTGAGCTATCTGCAGAAGCTCTACTAGGCTATTTTGGTTCGGTTGTTAAAAATGGAGGGACAGAGTAGTGAACTGACCAACTCCCAGCAACCAGGTGACGCTGCGGCCCACGACTATGAACCTGGCCTACTTTCTGGACAAATATTGTCCAAACTGGTCGCGGTTGCTCGAGAACCCGACTACCCTTCTAGGGATTTCACTGAAGAACAGCGTAGCGACGAGCTAGAAGCTGTAATTGATCAAATAGAAAACCCGGATAGTACAAAACCAATCCAGGTTCACTTAGCTAAGTTAGCCTTGATCCTCTATCAGAGAGAACTCCAACATGATCGAGAGATCATGAACCTCCAGAGTATGCTAGCTGAAAAACAGCGAAATGGAAGGCTGATCGAGGAAGACAACACCAGCACCGATTCTGGGGAAGATGGGGAGAAGACCCCGCCCCCCTCTGCTGATGACAACAGACAGTGGGAAGGGGGGAAACACCAGGACTCTCTGGACGGACGCACGCCGCAGGGGAGAGATGAAGCTTATCTGTCCCAACCTTCGGCCCCGTTCCCTACACACACTATAGGGCATTCAGGACCATCTAGGGGCCGAGGGCAATTCGCCCTCGAACCCCAGGTTGGACCACCACCCTCATCTTCACGGCCTTCTCAATCAGTGAGAAGTCGACCAGCTGAGCGGCACCTCTATTTAGACCGCTCCCCCAGTCCACAAAGGGTGCAAGGTGCCGATTGGGGTTATGCACCCCAAGCTGCACCTCAACCATCCACCCATCCTAGCTACTCCGGTATTCGGCATGCCGGTAACCAGCTGCAGGACAAAGCATCATACGCCAGTCCGTATCCGGACAAAGTGTATTACGCAGAAGCCCCAGTTGAAAGACGCAGGCTGCACTACGCAGACGTGCCCCGGGAGGAGGACCTCCCAAGACACCCACGTGACGTGCCAGCAGCCCGCCACAGCATGCCGAACCCCGATTTGGGCCCCAGGAGTCAACATTGGGAGCCCAGAGCACACCAGCGATATCCAGCGCCCTCTGAGACAGACCGTGGGTCAGAGTCAGAGGATGACGCGCCGTACCGTGAGTCAGGGCTCCGTGTACGTCAAATTGAATCGCTAGCTAAAGACATAGAACGCTTTGATCCTAACACCAATGAATCCAACGTCGACGATTATCTCAGGGAGATAGAACGTTGTCTGCTTGATCTTCCAGCACCCTCTTCAAGGGAAAAGCTCAAGCTAATTTGGAAAACCACATCTAGAACGGTGCACGGTTTCATGGAAACTCTACCACCTGACATTCGTGATCGGTACTCCTCGCTCTGCCGAGCGTTGAGAGATGAATACGCCACGTATGCAGACTCTGCGTCAGCTACAATGGGGGCCTTCTCCATCAAACACTGGAGAAACGAACCCCCCAGAGAGTATTATCGCAGACTCAAAAGTGCTTATTTCCAAGGTCGAAACGGCCCTGGGCTCGAGGAAGACCCTGCCTTCAGATCCCTGTTCATTCACAACCTGCACGAGTGTGTTCGATCCGAAGTCTCAATGTATTGTCGGATGAAAAAACTGACAACTCAGGAGATTAGGAGATATGCTCAACAGGCTTGGGAAGCCGGCGGAAAGCCCCAAAAGCCTGACGCACATCACCGCGTCATGCACCTAGCTCCCGACACCGAGCCGCGTTTGGAGCTCGAAGGCACAGAAGCTCCACCCACTAAGCCAAAATCTGCTAAACCTAGACCTGTTAAACAGCGAGAGCAGTCCCAATCTCCTCAACAGGGGAAGGGGGGTGCTGATTGGCCGCCTAGGTCTGGACAATCAGACAGGAAGTGGCCCAACCAAAACCAACGGCAGGCAGGTCGGAACAGTGGAAGGTTTAAGGAGCGCCGCCCACAGGTAGGTCCCGAACACAAGTCCGCAGGTGAGTACTTGACCAAAGCCGACCTCCAGGAGATGTTTCAGCAGTTCCTAGCTAAACAGAAGGAACAGCTGAGATCTGCAGATGAGACCCCTGCACCAAAGTCCGCTTCTAAGAAGCCAGACCCAGAGCCAACGTCCGCATGACTAGGCGTGGCTCAACCTCCCAGCGTGGCCAGGACCTACCTGATCAGCTGGGGGAACACTACTGGTAGATCACAGGAGTCTCCTGAAATCTACCCCCCAGAGAAACCTGATACTAAATTTCTGAAGTTCCTTGGTGACTTAACAAACCATGATCATGCTCGCCGTTTGTACTGTAGCACCAACGTAGGTGGATGCATACAGGTTGATGCTCTGCTGGATACCGGCTCAGAAATCACCCTGATGTGCTCCACGCTGTTCCATCGCGTGTCTGACACCATGCGGTCACTCGGGAAACCAGTCCAGGTAGAGCCCTGTGACCTGAAAATCACCAGCTACACCCAGACCCGGGAGTGTATCACTCACCGGGCGTGGCTGGATATCACCTTCCAAGACATGACTCTGGTTCACCCGTTTTATGTCTGCCAGCTAGACACTGAACCACTTCTCATTGGTCAGGACCTGCTTGAACGTCTAGCTCCCCTC